GGGGGAGATTATGGCTATAGGGCATGTTCCCTCACAGGAGAGAAAAAGGGAATGTGTGAAATTACCCCCTGGGGGATAGCTGTGCAGCAAGCAGTTCCTTCTCCATTCTACTTTTAGGATTTGGGGCATGCACATGCATGCACCCAGTGTGAGTTTCAAGCCACTGTTCTGGGACTCAAATTGTTATCAACCATGTGGAAGTCCAGCTCCTTAACCACCACACCACCTGTTAGCCCCTAGACTGAGAATTCTAAAAGATTAGATGATAAAATGTAAATGAGGAAAGGATAAAAATAGGCCAAAAGAAAATTCAAATATTAAACTACCACATGAAATTGTATATTAGTGAGGAATATAAAGAAAAAGAAATTGGCATACTTATCAGACTTGCAAAATTAATACACAGTATGTACTGGTGGTAAGAATCCAAGGAAAGGAGTACTTGCCTAAGTAGCTGGTGGAAAAGGAAGTTATTAATGATCTTTCTTGGGAAAAAAAATGTGAAAACGTCTATTTAAATTTTTTGCTGTAGACAATGTGCTCTCACTAGACAGAGACAGAGAGAGAGCGAGAAATCACCTCCCAGCAAGGATGGCCACACCACAGTTTCCTCTCCATTCTTCTCTTGGTTTTGAGCACACATGCACAGTCCTTGAACCATACAGTTGACTATGTGGGATCCAGCACCTGAACCTCCATGCCATCTGCTGGCCCTATTAAAATACTTTCAATGTATAACATTTGACCAAATAATTCCTTAGGCTCCATCTTACAGATTTTTCCCTCTTTATTTTCATTTTTTTAAAGAGATTTTTGCCATAGGGGGAGAGAGAGACAGTGAGAGGGAAAGTGAGAAATCACCCTCCAGAGGGATTACCACACTGCAATCCTTTCTCCTCCAATCTCCTCCTGGGATTTTGGACACACCCTCAACTATGCCCAGTGTGATTTTCAAGCCACCAGCTCTGCGACTTGTACTGTGGAAGGCCATGCGGGAGTCCAGCAACATGACCACTACACCATCTGCCGACCCCAGTGAGTTAAAATTACTACAAGATAGAAATGCTGACTGTAAATGCTGAGATACAGAAATATGTATCATTATTTTTGTAAATATGTTTGTTTATAACAAACTCATACATTAAAAAAAATATTAATGGGGATCAGCAGGTGGCATGGTGGTTAAAGGCACTGGACTCTCCCGTGGCTGACTGCTGTTTGAGTCCTGGAGCTGGCGTCTTGCTTTCTCGCTCTCCCTCTCTCTGTCTGTGTCTCTTTCTGGTCAGATTTAAAAAATAATAATAAATAAAGTTAAAATGATTCTAAACGAATAAAGCAGAAACTTACAAGAAAAAAATGTTATGAGTGTGCATCTGTATCAGATTTTATAGGAATACAAATGAAAATACAGAAGCATACATAGTTGATAAGATGGGAACTGTAAGAAATGAAAAACAGCAAAAAGCAACCATAGGATAATAGAAACAATATGAATTTTTTTTTTTTCCTTTTTTCTTTTGAGAGATTTTTGCTATAGGATACATACACTCACCAAAGAGAGAGACAGAAGGTGAAAAATAATCCCTAATCCCTGAGGGGGGGATAGCCATGCTGCAATCCTTTCTCCCCTGGGGATTTTGGGTGCACATGCACACACGCCCAGCATGAGTTGTAAGTCACTGGGTCTGGAACTCAAACTGCAGTTAAGTGGGAGTCAAGTTATATAACCATTACGCCATCTGCTGGTCCCTGGATTAATATTTTTATATAATCTTAGGGAATGCATTTTTAAGCATGATGGTATAAGCAAGATTAGTAAATGAAGAGGTCAATATATTTAAGTAAATAAAAAAGTACAGAACAGTGTACCAGAACATCATAAACAGTATTTTTTATTGTATATTTATTTTTAAAATTTATTTGCATTTAATCACGTCTTTACAGTATACATTTCTTTTTCCAACACAAATACCATGCAAGTCAGTCAAGACAAAGATCTTACTATATACATTATCAGCAAATAGCTTCTCATTTTTTGTCAGTTAGGCATACTTTAACCAGTATTTCCCTCCCCCTTTCCCCTCCCTCCCTTCCATACTAAACATTTTTTTTCCCCCACATTTTATTGATTCACAAAAGATCTTAAACTAAAAAGTATGGAAAGGCTAGAATCTAGTGATAAGTGTGCTGTAATTTTCTTCTGAAACATTTTTTTTTTCTCTCCATTCCCCTTTACTAAAGAGAGGTATGAATTAACTAATTTGCAAGAAAAACAATCAGGTTAACTCAGTTTGGTCTGTTATTTGCACAAAGCCCCAGAAGAATTCAATTTCTGATGCAAGGCAATAGATACTATTGTATTACAGAATTTATGCAAATAACCACTCTGCCACAAAATAGGAATGCTCACAAATATTTTCCAATTGCAAAGGGGTCAGGATGGGAGAAAAGTTTATGTTTCAATTAAAAAATTCTTTTCTGAACCTATCAGCAACTCAAAAGAAAACAAAAATCCTTAAATCTAGAAGACAAAGCATCGAAGAAAATCAGTAATGTTTTAGAAGAAAGTCAACGAATTCTGTCTCACCAGTTCAGTCTCATGTAATCTCTTTTGTTGAATTTGCAGTGTCACTGTGGTCTAACCTTTCTGTTAACATTCAACATTATTATTGATATTTCAGAACTTGTCCCTACCATTAAGTTGGCCTTTTTCTTGGTCATTTTTTGTTCTCTTATTTGTCCATCTGTCTTTAGTTTTCCTGATATGGTACTCCCTTCAGAACTTCTCTAAGAGCTGGTCTGGTGTTGGTAAATTCTTTCAGGTTTTCTTCATCTGAGAATGTTTTTATCTTTTCTTCCCATATGAAGGATAATATTGCCAGATAGAGTGTTTTTGGTCGAAACTGATTTTTACTTAACACTTTGAACATATTTTCACATTCTTTCCTTGCTTGCATTGTTTCTGATGAGAGGTCTGACGTTAGCCTGATTGGCATAGCCTTTGAAAGTAACTTGACTTTTCTCTCTTGGCAATCTTAGTATCTTGTCTTTGTCTGTAGTTTGGTCAAACTGGCTATGATGTGCATGGGAGAAGATCTTCTTGGGTTGATTCTATATGGAGTCCTTTGTATTTCTTGGGTCTGGATATTTGAACGCCCATCTAAGTTTGGAAAGTTTTCTTCCAGAATTACATAGAATAGATTATCAATGCCCTTATTAGCTTCTTCACTTTCAAGGATCTGATTATCTGGAATGTTTGGGCATCTAATGTTTTCTAGTATTACTCGTATATTACTCTAATTTTGGGGGGTTATTTTCTTAGTATTTTTGGTGAAATTTTTCTAGGTCAGAGTTTCGTTCTGTCTTCCACATCTGAGATTCAATCTTCTGCATGATCTAATCTGCTTTTAATACTTTCAAAGAAGGTTTTGATTTCCTATATTACAGCATTCATGTCTAACAATTCTATTTGATTCTTTTTTATGGTGTGTATTTCCTCCTTCAGATTGTGGATGAACTTCCTCACCACCTAGACCTCGTCATTTCTTTCCTCCTGCATGTTCTAGAATTCGTTGTCTCTCTTCTCTTGCATCTCTGTTAGCTTTGTCACTATGAATATCCTAAATTTTTTCTCTTTTTTTTTTTTTTTTTGAGAGATTTTCGTTATGGGGCACATGCACTTGCCAGACAGAGAGAGAGAGACGTTAGAGACAGAAAGTGAGAAATCACCCCGCAGGGGGGGACGGTCATGCCGTAATCCCTTCTCCTCCATTCTCTTCTCAGGATCATGGGCACGCACGCACATGCGCCTGGCGTGAGTTTCAAGCCACCGGGTCCGGGACGCAAACCATGGTCGACTACGTGGGAGTCCAGTGACATAGCCATTACACTAACTGCTGGTTCCCAATATCCTAAATTCTTTTCTTTTCTTTCTTTCTTTCTTTCTTTTTTTTTTTTTTTTTTTGGAGGGGGTTTTTTGCTTTAGATGCACTCGCCAGACAGACAGAGAGAGACATAGAGACAGAAAGCGAGAAATCACCTCCCAGGGGGATGGTCACGCCACAATCCTTTCTCCCCTCGGGATCTTGGGCACGCACGCACATGCACCCGGCGTGAGTTTTAAGCCACCGGATCTGGGATGTGAACCACGGTCGACCACGTGGGAGTCCAGCAACATAGCCATTATGCTAACAGCTGGTTCCCGATATCCTAAATTCTTTATCCAACGTTTCCATGAGTTCCATTGTACTTTCTGTGGATGATAAAAGACTGTTCTTTTCCCATGGGGAAGAGGCATTTTCTTGATTTTCCATATTTCTTGTGCCTTTGCAGTGGTTTCTGGACCTGAGATGGATTATGTTAACTTCCTGCCTTCTTGAAGTTAATTCTGAGTGTTAGAGGCGTGCAGAAGGAGATGACCTGCAATATTTCTGCAGTTCCATTTCCCTGATGCTAACAAAGGAACCTGCACTGGTTTTTCACTGGGTGTTGGGCCTGAAGGAGACGTTTAGGGCAGAGGCTTCTGGTTAAAGGTGCAGGACTAGGCCTACTTCAGATGCACATGGATTCTGGCTTTTCACTGGGTGTCAGGCTGGAAGGAGAGGTTAAGGGCAGAAGCTTTCCAGTTAAAGGGGCAGAGCTAGACCTACCTGAGATGCACATGGATTCTGACTTTTACCGGGTGTTGGGCCGGAAGGAAGTAAACAGTATTTCATAGGTAAATGCACATGAGGGAAAATAAACTGTGTGACAAAGTTGATTATTTTTGTATTTTTTCAAATGAATTGTTTTATTCATTATTGTTACTTTTTAGTTTGACCAGAGAGAGAGAGAAAGTGAGAAAGCAAGCCACTAGATCTGGGACTCAAATTATGGTTGGGTATGTTGGGAGTCCAGCATCTTAACAACCACACCACCTGCCAGCTCTTCATTTTTGTTTTTGTTTTTGTTTTTTGGGTTTTTGTTTTTGTTTTTTAGAGAGGTTTTTGCTATAGGGTGTATACACTCTCCAGAGAGACAGAGAGATAGAAAGCAAGAAATCACTCCCCAGGGGTGATGGCCACGCTGCAGTTCCTTCTCCTCCATTCTCCTCTTGGGATCTTGGGCACGCATACGCGCCTGACGTGAGTTTAAGCCACCTGGTCCGGGACTTGAATCGCAGTTCGCTATATAGGAGTTCAGCAACATAGCCATTATGCTAACTGCTGGTCCCCATTTTTGTATTTTTAATGTCTTAAAAGTCAAGCGATAAGAATCAGCAGATGGCATAGCAGGTTAAATCACTAGACTCCCACATAGCCAACTGGGGTTGGAGTCACAGACCCTGCAGCTTAAAATACACCAGACATGTGTACGTGCATGCCCAAATCCTGAGAGGGAAATGGAGGAGAAGAGATTGTAGTATGTCCATCCACTCAGAGGGGTGATTTCTTGCTAGATTCTATCTCTGTGTCTTTCTTTCTTTGTCCAGTGAGTACAAGTACCCTATAACAAAAATTTCTTCGAAAAAATCAAGAAATAAATTAAAACCATAGAGAAATTAGTAAAGGAAATAGAGTTCTGAAAAGGTAGTAATCAGAGTGCTGAAAATGATGAGGACCAGCAGATGGCATAATGGCTACATCGCTGGATTCCCATGTAGTCATTTGTGGTTCAAGTCCCAGACCTGGTGGCTTAAAACTCACGCTGGGCGCGTGTGCGTGCATGCCCAAGATCCCGAGAGGAGAATGGAGGAGAAGGGATTGCGGCGTGGCCATCACCCCTGGGGGGTGATTTCTTGCTTTCTGTCTCTCTGTCGCTCTCTGTCTTTCTGGTGTGCGCACACGCTTATAGCATAAACTTCTTTAAAAAAAAAAAAAGTGCTGAAAATGAAATTAAAATACCTTTAGCTAAATATTTGGATTGCAAAAAAAGTCTGCATTTTTTCTTGGTCAGTGTTTGGGGAAATGAAATGTGGGTCATGGAAATAGGTTTAACTTTTCTGGATGGCAGTTGGGCAATAATTCTAGATGTGTACCAGGATTTATCTGTAAAAATATCCCTTGAAGATGTCTGTCATATGTCATTGGGAATGATCAGAAAGTACTCAGATATCTAGTATAAAGGAGTTCACTTAAGTAAATAATGGATTTCCATATGTTGGAGTTTTTAAGTAAGCTGTTTTCAAACTGGTACACTGAACCATCATAGGAGGGTTTGGAACATACGATAGACTGTATCCCTCTACTGTGGGCTATAATGATAACATAAGTAGCGCCACCACTTGGGAAGCTGCAAACTGTGTGGGATGCCCATGTTTGGTTGGTTCCCAAGTCTGGCACAGTCGCATGTACTTATAAAATAGCTATTTAGGAGGCTGGGGCAAGAGGATTATAGTAAGACCCTATCAAAAATTTCTGTCTCCAGCCAGCTTAGTAGCATAGTGTTACAGAAGTCAGATTCCACATGGCTGACCATGTCAAATCCTGACCTGGTGGCTTCCGAAACACTCTGGGCACTTTTGCTTACATACCCAATATCCTGACAGGATAGAGAAATGGAAGGTGACAGAATTGTGCCATGACTACACCACGTCATGAGGGATGCTTTCTCCCTTTCCCTCATGGTAGATAGATGTTCTCACTGGCAAATTTTATAATATGTAGACATGTGGTCAGCAGGTGGCCTGGTAATTAAGGTGCTGGATTCATGACTTCACTGCAGTTAGGGTCCTTGACCTAGTGACTTGCTTTCTCTCTCTCTTTCTCTGTTTCTCTCTTCCTCTGTCTCTCTCTGGTCAAATTGAAGAAGAAGAATAAAATAAATAATTTTTAAAAATATGCACACATAAAAATATTTTGTCCTGTGATATAGATCATAGAAACATCTCTAGAAGAATAATATGAATAGGGTCTATCCCTATGTAGTGGATACTTTTGCTATTTTCTGACAAGATTGGGTTTTTCTGATGATATAAAGATATTTATGTAATTACTTTTTATTGAAATTCTTTATATAAATATTATTTCTGTTAGTAGCTTGTATTTGAAAGTGGCTATGAAGTCATAATTTAGCAGACCAAGGAATTCACAGTATGTGAATATTGGGGCCAGCAGATAGATGGTGGTTAAGGCGTTGGACTCCCATGTGGCCAACTGCAGTTCGAGTCCCAAATCTGGTGGCTTGCTTGCTCACTTTGTCTCTTTCTTGTGAGTGTTTGTGCCCTATAGAAAATTAAAATAATAATAGTAAATAAATAAATAAACTACCATCCTTTCAAGATCAGTTTGCATGGTGGGAGCCCATAAGTGATGAGATCTGGTTTGGGAGTGTGCCGTGGACTTTTACCTTGGGACCAGTGTCAACATGTCTGGTACAAGCCGGATGAGACACTTCGGCTGCAGCAGCTCTGGGAGTTTAGAAGGAGATGGCTAATAGACCAAGAGCTGAGCCCTCGGGAGCTGGTGTTTCCACCCCCAGAGTCTGTGACCTTTGAGGAAATCTAGAGTAATTTTTTGCAAAACAGGATCTCACTTTCTATACAGCATGCCAACATAATATTTTTGTGTATTCATGTGCTTATACCTGCCTGGATTATTCATTATTACATCAATTATCATTTGAATATAATACTAAATGCCATTGTTAAAAAGAAGGCCAGAATATTTCCAGGTGATAAAATTCTAGAGACTAGAGAAATAATTCTACCAGTGAAAGGATTTCCTGATAGGGAACCAGCAGGTGGTGTGGTGGTGAAGGTGCTGGGCACACCCACATGACTGACCACCATTCAATTCAAGTCCCAGACCTGGTGGTTTGCTTTCTCACTTTCTCTCTTTCTCTTTGTCTCTCTCTGGTCAAATTAAAAAATAAGTGAATGGATAAATAAAATTAAATAAATAGATACTTTAAAAAAAATTTTTTTTCTGATGAACATCATTGAAGATTACTTTATTTCAAAGGCCTATGGATGGGCTCAAGTTGATTCTTATATTACTACAATATAAAATATATTCTTGAAAAGTAATTTTAATAATGTTTACTCTCAGAAAAAAAAATGAATAAATAAATTAAACTGGAACCAGAAGTTGGCATAATGGCTATGTTTCTGGACTTCCATGTAGTCGACCACAGTTCGAGTCCCAGACCCAGTGGCTTAAACTCACGCTGGGCTTATGTGCGTGTATGCCTAAGATCTCTAGAGAATGATGGAGAAGGGATTGTGGTGTGGCCATCCCCTCCTTCCTTGCGGGTGATTTCTCGCTTTCTTTCTCTGTCTTTCTGGTGAGCACACACGCCCTTTAGCAAAAACCTCTCACCACCCCCCATAAGTAAATAAATAAATCTTTTAATAATAAGTGAATGTATACATTATAAAAAGTGTCCTTTTATAATGAAAATAACCATTCCCCTAAATTATCCCTTTTTTTAAAAAAAATTATTCATTGTCATTATTTTTTATTCTGTTTTTTTGTTTTGTTTTGTTTTTTGTTTTTTTTTAAGTTGACTAGAAAGAGACAGAGAGAGAAGGAAAGCAAGAAAGCAAGCCACCAGGCCCAGGACGTGAACCACAGTCAGCCATGTGAGAGTTCAGTCATCTCAACCACCACGCCATCTGCCAGCCCTCTAAATTACTTATTTTCTACAGAATTGTTTATTTAATTCAAGTACTATTACTATTACTAGTAATTTTTTTTTTCTAAACTGTAGGATGCATGCACTCACTGGAGAGAGACCAAAGACAAGAGAGGTTGGGGGAGAGAGAAATAATTCCTCCCAGAAGGGACGACCATACCACAGTCCCTCCTTCTCCCTTCTCCTCATGGGACTTCTGGCATGCACATACATGTGCCTGCTGTGATTTTTTCAAGCCACTGGGTCTGGGACTGAAACCATATAGTCAGCCATATGGCCTCTAGCTGCCTTAACCACGATGCCACGTGACTGGTCCACTAGTAGCTAACTTTTATCCAACTTTTTATAATGCATGAGGCACTTTAATAAGCTGCTTGTATGTATTAGCTCATTTGAGTAAGTACTTTTATTTTTCTTATTTTGCAGTTAAGGAAACCAGAACTTAAGGAGCTTACTTTTATAAGATCAGAGCATTAAAGGTTATTATGGCTCTAATTTGACCCCATATATGCTTGTCTGATTCCCAGAGTACCATTCCTGACTGCTAGGCTGTTGCTTAAATTTCAAACACTAAAATTTAGCTAGAGAAAATAGAAGAGATTTACTATAAGAGAGAAGAATCATAAAATTTCTATTTTAACTACTAAAGTATAAAGAAAAAATTAGTTTTTGTTTTGATAATTGCACTTCTAATATTGATTGTTCTTTGCATATGTGTACTTAATTTGGAGCATTGTTTTAACCACTAAGTGATAATTTTCTTTTTCTTTTCAGTTTGGCAATTCTATCATTAACACACCTTTAAAACGTCGTAAAGTGATTTCTCAAGACACTTTAGTTGATCCTATCTCTTTAAGCTGCCAAAGTTCTTTTGACAGTGTCATTTTAAACTGTCGAAGTATACGAGTAGGAACCATCTTCCGACTATTAATAGAGCCTGTAATCGTAAGTACATTCTTAAGCTTTTCATTATACCAGTTTTAAGATTCCAGATTCTGCTGTTAAGGCTAATATGTAATACTTAAAAATTGGTAAATTGAAAGATTTAATTTAAAAGGGCCACACAAGGTGCAGCAGTAACACAAAGTTCTGTGAAACTGAACCCACATGGGAGATATGGGGGGGCTCATCCCAAGACTTCCCCATACATATATACCAGGCATGCATGTGCCTGTAATCCAGGCTTACAGGCTTGAGGTTAATCACCTTAAGAAATAAAGTGCCTATTATTGGTAGAGTGTGTATACATGTGTGTGGGTGTCTTTCTCAGAGGAAGTAAGCATAAAATCATTTAAAACTTTATAAAATATATCTGATTTATTAGAATATAGAAATTATTTCCAAATTTCAAATTACTTTTAAGAATCAGTAAATAAAGGGACCAGCAGTTGGCATAATGGCTATGTGGCTGGACTCCCATGTAACCGACCGCGGTTCAAGTCCCGGATCTGGTGGCTTAAACTCACACTGGGCATGCACACGCACGTGCCCAAGATCCCTAGAGGAGAATGGAGGAGAAGGGATTGCGGTGTGGCCATCCCCCCTGGGGGGTGTCTCTCTGTCTTTCTGGCGAGTGCATGTGCCCTATAGCCAAACACCCTCTCAAAAAAAAATTAGTAAATAAAAATTTTTCATACTTTAATGTTCTGAGTAGTGGTATACTAACTATAGGTAGATTCTTTGTTTTTGTTTTTGTTTTGTTTTTCTGTTTTTTTTTGGAGAGGTTTTTGTTATAGGGCACTTGTGCTCACCAGAAAGACAGAGAGAGACAGAGAGACAGAAAGCGAGAAATCACCCCTCAATGGGAGATGGCCAATCCTTTCTCCTCCATTCTCCTCTCGGGATCTTGGGCACGCACGCACACGCGCCCGGCGTGAGTTTAAGCCACCAGGTCTGGGACTCAAACCGCAGTCGACTACATGGGAGCCCAGCGACATAGCCATTACACTAACTGCTGGTCCCACTGTAGGTAGATTCTTAGGACTCTTATTGAATTAGAAAATCTTCCAGTATGTAAGAATTTATTGCCATGCCAACTCAGTGCATGAAAAGAGTGTATTAAAGAACTGTAGTGCATCCCAGCTATGGTGGCACAGACACTAGGGTACCATTGGTTGATGCTGGAGCCATATGAGTAAGTGCTAAGTTCACTTAGATTGATCTGAACACATGTGATCCCAACTAGCTGCTGGGCTGTGTGTGTGTATATATTTGGGGGGTGGGGTTGCAGAATGAAGACCCCTTTGAGGCATACTTTTTTGTATTTCTCAGTATATAAGTAAACTTTTTAAAAAACTGTAGTGAGGGAACGACAAAAGTTTTACAGTTTGCTAAAAAATGTATTATGAGACTTTTAGATTATTGGAATACAGTGAGCACTTGGCGTTGTGCTTTTTGATAAGTCCAGTGTCCACAGCACACAATGGACTTTTTGTAGTCCCTTTGTATATATTTTTTTCGTTCATGTGCATTTGTTATAGGACATGTGCATTTGCCAAAAGAGAGCAAAAGAAGGAAAGTGAGAAATCATCTCCTGGGAATGATAGCCACACCACAATCCCTTTTCTTCCATTCTCCTCTTGGGATTTTGGGCATACACACACACATGCCTGGCATGTTTTCTCAAGTTGTTGTGTTCAGGACTTGAACCACACTGTTGGCCATGTGGGAACCAATTATGATAACCACCACACCACCAGCTGGCCCTATAGTCCTTTTCTTATTTGTCATACCCATCTTATTCTACTGTCAACCTTGCAATTCAGATGTTCCTTTTGTTTGAAATTTTAATATAATCTCTTTCACTAGCCATTTTAATCATCATTTTTCTTCTTCCGTTTGTGTTCTAAACACTGTTGGTAGATTATTCTTTCTTTCTTTTTTTTTTTTTTGGAGAGATTTTCACTGTAGGGCGCGTGCGCTCGCCAGACAGACAGAGAGAGACATAGAGACAGAAAGCGAGAAATCATCCCCCAGGGGGGATGGTCACGCCGCAATCCCTTCTCCTCCATTCTCCTCTCGGGATCTTGGGCACGCACGCACACGCGCCCGGCGTGAGTTTTAAGTCACCGGGTCCAGGACGTGAACCGCGGTCGACTACGTGGGAGTCCAGCGACATAGCCATTACGCTAACTGCTGGTTCCCGGTAGATTATTCTTTCTAAAACACTATATTTATTGTAGAAGCCTTTATTTTGTAATGCCTTATCTTGGTGTCTCTAGTTTCCAAGTCTTCTTTCAAAGTGTAGTTTCTTTTTTTTTTCGAGAGGTTTTTTACTATAGGGCGCGTGCGCTCGCCAGACAGACAGAGAGAGACAGACAGAAAGCGAGAAATCACCCCCCAGGGGGGATGGCCACGCTGCAATCCCTTCTCCTCCATTCTCCTCTTGGGCACGCACGCACACGCGCCCGGCGTGGGTTTTAAGCCACCGGGTCCGGGACGCGAACCGCGGTCGACTACGTGGGAGTCCAGCGACATAGCCATTGTGCTAACTGCTGGTTCCCTCAAAGTGTAGTTTCTTGAAGCAGTAGAAGAGCATATTACACCGTAATAGGAAAGTTAAAAGGCAGTTTTTTTTATTATTATTTAAATGGTAAGTAATAACTCCTGGTAAAGGTTTATGGCTCTAGGATACAGTATAATCAAAAGAAAATTATAGATTAATATTTAGGTGTAATTAAAATGTAAGTTTAATTTTGGGACCAGCAGATGGTATAATGGTTACGTCTCCGGACTCCCATGTAGTTGACCATGGTTTGAGTCCTGGACCTGGTGGCTTAAACTTCACACCAGGTGCATGTGTATGCATGCCCCAAATCCTGAGAATAGAGAAGAGGTTGTGGCATGCCATCCCCCCCACCCCCAACGCCTGGGGGATGATTTCTCACTTTTTGTCTCTCGTAAAAAATCTCTCCCCAGCAACCCCCTTTAAAAAAAAAGTAAACTTAATTTCTTAGCAGAGCATAATGTGAAAAACCAACAGTTTATTCAGTTCTATTAAAAACTCCTTCTTTTTATGATTTAAAAACTGAAAAGTTTCAGAAAGACCCTGGAGATTTAAGAGGAAATTACATGTAAACTACCCTTTATTGCCTGATATCATTGTTACATCAGGCAAGATTTTCAGGGATTTATGAAATTTGTGTTTTATTATAAGCCTTTAAGTACAGATTATCTTTTCTAATTTCTTGTTAGTTGACAAAAATGTCACTTTTTATCACTTTGTACCTCAAAAATTTCTAAAAATACCACATAGGTTTTTATGTTTGGTATGATAAGTAAGATCTTGCTGGTAATTTAGACATTTAATTAAGGGTTGCATATTTAGTCTCAAAGCTATCAAGAAATACATTGAAATTTGGACCTCCCCCCCACCAAAAGTTACAGGTTAGGTTATTTATACAACAGTATGGAAAAGCTAACTTTTAAAATTATTAATTGAAGCAAAATTTAATGAAAGTTAAATGGCTGTACTAAACCATAGTTCAGTGTTTGAGGGAGCTGAATCCCATATGACAGGTAGCGTTTGAGTCCCAATCCAGCATCTTAAAAGAATGTGTTGAGCACATATGCTAGCACCTATTTGTATGTGTTCAAAATCCTGATGAGGAGGAATAAGGATTGAAGCACAACCATGCCCCATTTAGAGTGCTTTTCTGTCTGCCTGCCTGCCTGCCTGCCTATCTGCCTATCTGTCTTGTCCCTCTCTGGCAAGTACATGTGTCCTCTGGCAATTTAAAAAAAAAAAGGTAAAATTGCTTACATTATTAGGATTTTTCTATGTGGCAAAATACAGAATAGTCCCTTATTTTCCAAATAGAAGCTATAAAATCAAGATTTTCAATCAATTTTAGTTTAAAAATTTGAGGGGCTATAGATAAATAGCCCAGTGTCTATTTGTAATATTAATAGTTGCATGCGACTTAGTTATGCACAAATTTTTAAATGACATAGTTAGACATCTCTCATTTATCTCATGCATCAGTTTTATTCAAATGCTGTCTGTCGTCATTACTTATGTGATCATTGTGGCCAATTTTTAAGTCATCTACATATTTCTTTTTTACTTCTTTTTTTACTTAGAATTTTTAAAATTTTTCCTCATTATTATTATTTTAGAGTTTTTTGCTATAGAGTGGGTATGCTTGCCGGAGGGAGACACACACAGACAGTAAGAGGGAAAGTGAGAAATCACCTTTCATGGGGATGGCCATCCCATAGTCCTGTCTTCTCCTGGGATCCTGGCCACAAATGCACAGAGGTCTGGCATGATTTCAAGCCACTGGGTCTGGGGGACTTGAACTGTGTCAGCCATGTGGAAGTCCAGCGATGTAACCACTACACCATCTGCTGGCCTCTATTTAATGTATTTCAAAGTACTTTTCTCCTCTGTTGATTTTCTTAACTTCTATAAACACACCCAAGAAATTATTTATTCAGATTATATCAGGCTTAATGTGTCATCTCCCCATTGGAATAGTTAGAAAATCACTTTATAACCACCAATAATAACTGATTCAGGCAAAGATCTTCAACAGATGCTAAAACCATTGAGTAAAAAGATTATTCACAAATTGGATATTCACAGACTTTCAAGTTATCTCTCCACAGATTATCTAATTGCCAAGGGAAAAATAAATCTTTAAAATGGAAAGACCTAATAGTTAACCACCTTATGTAAGTGATTAAGCTTGTATTCATAATGGAAGAACCTGGCATATGGTATATCTCCTGTCTTTGTTACTTTCATGAGAAAGTGCATTGTGCACCCTCAAGAGTCTCATGCCACAGTCCCACAGTCCTTCTCCCCCTAACCTTTTTTCGCCTTCCAGCAATATGATCCATGCTTGTGTGGTCTCTGTGTACAGATTGATCTGAGAGCTGAACCTCTGTCTTCTATATGGCTTCCGGCTGACAGTGTGTTTTGTTACTAGCCATTCCCCTGCCAATGGTTTTGGAAGCGCCTTCAAGGCACTTATATGTAATGTAGTAGGAGATATTAGCACCTCACCTACTTAGCACATTCTGCTGTTTTTTTACTAGAATATATATTCCTGAATTTTAAAATGAAGCAATACAGGTTCAGGAAGTTGGGTACTTTTTAAAATATAGCTTTTCTCCCTAAAGCCTTTGTCATAAAGAAGAGAGAGAGAGTTTTCTGGTCTAGACTGGAATAGATGAATAATAAGTAGTATTACCTTGAATCATTGATTGGGAGGCATTGAAACAGCAATAAGGGACAATTTTGAGCATTTAGGGAAATTTGAGTATGAACCCATGTTAATTAAAGTGAATCTTGATTTATTAGATGTGCTAATGATGTTTTGGTTATATAGGTAAATGTTCTGGTTCTTAGGAGATACACACTGAAGGACTTGGTGGAACAAATGTTAAGTCTGCTGTCTGCTTTGTAATGGTTTAGTAGAAGCAAAGTGAATATATGTATGGAAGATGTTAGCAGTTAGTGTTTCTACAAGTGCTCAGGTATTCATTGAAATATTACATCAACTCCCATGTGAGGTTTTAAGTAATAATACAAGAGGTGATTGACTACTTGAATTAAAAAGGTAAAACTGGACTAGCAGGTTGCAAGATGGTTGATGGTGCCAGACTCCCATATAACCGACCGTGATTCAAGTCTCAGACCTGGCAACTTGCTCTCTCACTTTCTTTCTCTTTCTCTCTCTCTGTAAAATAAAATAAATTAATATAAGTTAAATATATATATATATATATATATATTTTTTTTTTTTAAGGAAAAAAAGGTAAAACTACCTTTCTGAGAGAGATTTCTTGCAGGGTATAGGTATTTCACATTATATAAAATTACATGGTAGATGGCTCTTGTTTTTCAGCCCTCTGTAGACTTAAGATGCAAATAGCATGTCATTATGAATATTTGTAGCAAAATCTTCTGAGGTCTATGATCATTACTAATTTATCTTATTTTCTTAGTTTTCTTTAGATTTTATCAAGATACATCTAGACGGTAAGCTATTTTATGTTTTTTACTCACTGTAACATTATTTATACTAAAGTACTTTATAGGAATAAAAGATTTAATGATAGTCATAGAATTCCTTAAGGGGATTTATCATTACATATATCTTAATAAAAGGCATATCATATATCATGTTATAATTACATTCTGTAACATCACAAAGCCTAACTTCTTAGAGCCCCCTGTTTGATTTGAAGAAAATGTAGTAACTACTTTAAGATAGTTATAAAGATGTGGGGACAGTTAGCAGGTGACATAGTAGTTAGGATGCTGGATTCTCATATAGCCAACCATGATTTGAGTTCCAGACCCAGCAACTTGAAAAACATGCTGGGCATGTGTATGTGCGTGCTCAAACGTCACAAGAAGAAAATGAAGGAGAAGGGATTGTGGCATGGCCATCCTTCTTGGGGGTACTTTCTTATTTTTTCTCTCTCTCTATCTTTCTGTCTATCTTTCTCTTGTAAGCCCTATGGCAACAACCAGGAAAAAAAAAGAAAACAGAAAGATAATTATAAAGATTTTTCTCTATTTTTCCATGGTAATTGTTATTTATATTAATAGACTATAATAAATATGTGCCTGACTTTAAACTTTTATTCCTCACAGTTTACTACATTCATAATTTTGCCCTCTTAAGAATTGATTTCTCTTTTTTATTCTGTTTTCCTCCAGAACCAGAAAGTGATCCTGAGGAGATTATTTTAAATACCTCTGATCTAACTAAATGCGAATGGTGTAATGTCCGAAAATTACCAGTAGTGTTTCTTCAGACAATACCAACAGTTTATCAAAAGCTAAGTATAGAACTACAGATGAATAAGGAGGATGAAGATTGGAATAACTGTAAAGGGATAAATAAGTTAACAAGTAAGTTATGTAGAATAGATTATAACACTAACCTGTTGTATTGCAGAATGTGCATGTACTTTGACAGATGCCTTAGATGTATATTATCCATAATCCTTTAGCTATCTTGTAAATACAAAGAGACTTCAAAAAGTATGTAGAAAAATTGAATTTAAGTACAAGTTAATTTTGGTGCAAAGTTTGAAATCTAGACATAGTTGTTTTCCTAAAATATGCATTTTCCATACACTTTTTTAAGATACCATTTGTTTCTTAATTTTTTAGATGTGGAAAGAGCCCACAGAAAGTAGAAGGTTGGAAGATAAACTGTAGGTTTTCTTGATTGGATTTTTTTTTTTTTTTTGGAGAGGTTTTTAGCTATAGGGCGTGTGCGCTCTCCAGAAAGACAGAGACAGAGAGACAGAAAGCGAGAAATCACCACCCAGGGGGGATGACCATGCCGCAATCCCTTCTCCTCCATTCTTCTCTTGGGATCTTGGGCACACGTGCCTGGTTTGAGTTTAAGCCACCGGGTCCAGGACGCGAACTGCGGTCGAATACATGGGAGTCCAGCGACATAGCCATTACGCTAAGTGCTGGTCCCTTGTTCGGAAAATTTTTGAAATGGTTAATATTCAAAAGACCTACATTCTTTAACATTGTAATCTGAGTAAAATTAATATTTTTAACAGATAGGAATACTAAGTATAAATCAGTCGTATAAATCTGAAGTCCTTGAAACTTGGTCTGAATGAGAAATTTTCTAGCTCTTTTACAATAAATAGATATCATTCTCTAGTTTATTTCCCTTCATCTCATTGCCTGACTACCTCTAAAATAAATACATTTCAGCAGTAATTGCTGCTTCAATTTAATGTTGAGTTTTCTGTTAAAATTGCTGAAGCTACCACTTCGTTGTTAACATTTTTTTATTTGTGCCAAGACTATAAATAGATTTGGATCCTATTAGATGAAGTAAATTATTTACATTCATTAATTGATTTGTTCTTGAGCTGTTGCTAGAGCAATGTGTTCTTCCTTTTTCTTAATAATTTAGGTAACATTGTCAGGTACTTTATTCCAGTGTCTAATGAATGCCAAAGATTGTTTTGGACATTTATACCAGGATTCTAATGATCTGTTTAGAAATAGTTGTTACTTTTGAAAAATTTACCTATTTCTTATTTTGTTCTTTGAGATTTACAGTGTATTTATTTCTTTTCAGATTTGGAAGAACAGTATATAATTTTAATTTTTCAAAATGGCCTTGATCCTCAGGCAAATATGGTATTTGAAAGTATCATTACTGAAATTGGTATAAAGAATAATGTTTCCAAATTTTTTATGAAAATTCCCTTCGAAGAAGCTAATAGCAGACTTGTTGCCTGTACAAGAACCTATGAAGAGAGCATCAAAGGCAGTTGTGTGCAAAAAGAAAACAAAATTAAAACTGTAATTACATTTTCAACTTTTTAAGAATAATTTAAAATAATGGGTAGTTTTAAGGGGAAGTATTCTTATAATACCTCTCATTTTGGTGTTAGATCTTTTTTATTCCATTTCAGATTTATTTGCTTTTATATGCAATTTAGAAACTACATTGTATTAAAACATTAATGGTGGGTCAGTGACTTGTGATATGAATAGTATTTGATAGTCTCAGAAGCACTTTAGTTCCTCTTATCACTATATTCTTACCTTTACTTTTTTTTTTTTTTTTTTTGGAGAGGTTTTCGCGATAGGGTGCGTGCACTCGCCAGACAGAGAGAGACATAGAGACAGAAAGCGAGAAATCACCCCCCAGGGGGGCTGGTCACGCCAGAATCCCTTCTCCTCCATTCTCCTCTCGGGATCTTGGGCACGCACGCACACGCGCCCGGCTTAAGTTTTAAGCCACCGGGTCCGGGACGCAAACCACAGTCAACAACGTGGGAGTCCAGCGACATAGCCATTATGCTAACTGCTGGTTCCCACTTTTCATCTTCTTTCATCCTTTTATATTTATGCTGTGTATGTGTGTGTGTGCATCCACATCTATACATACGTAAACTGATACATTCAAATCTACTATTACCCTATATTTTATGTTTGAAGGAATTTTGTTCTCTATTGTAGTGTATTGGTTTATGTACCAGGTATACATGGTCGAAAACTTAGAAAGCAAAGAATACATACTGTTTGACCTTGATTGTTAAAATATGTATCTACTTCTAGAATAACTGCTCATATAGTTAAGTAACTCTGAATTCATCTGAACCAAAGGTCATAGTGCTACTATAACACACAGTAAAATATTAGGTAATACAAAACTCTGTAAGTTTGTCTCCCACCACAGGAACTTAATTTTGCCAACTTAATTTATTAGAAACAAATCTCTCACCCAGGCTACAAATTTGGAAATATGGATATTAAAGGCATAAACTTGGTGATAATTGAGCAAAGCGTTACCAGAGAAGAGCTATTTATATAGATAGTGGGTTGCGGGGATAGAGCAGAAGGAAAGGGAATCTTCTTCTTTTGCAGAATTGGCTACAGAAGATAATGCCAGAGGAAGAACAGAGCAGCAAAAGCCATAAGGGAGCTGGGCTCAACTCAGATTTTAATGGAAGACTCTTCCTTCTAAGGATTTCCCTGTTTGATTTAGCTCTGTGGAGGGCTGAAGCTCATTGAACTGTGTTCCTTGAGCCTCTGCCCCCACATCTCATGGATTTCCTAGCCATTGAACTTAGGTAGGCCTACACCACTAGAAGGAAAAAAAACACTGATTTTTTTTTTTAAAGATTCTTTGAATCTTACTAACATAATGTAATGTGCTAGAGATCTAAGAGAAATAAGATACTGGAAAACCATTATTCATTGTGGGAGTTGCGTTGTGAGAGTATCACAGTCTAGAAGAAATACATAAAAAGAAAGTGGCCCCTAGTTACACCTGTTTCTTGTTTTTAATTACTAAATATGCATACTTTTTAGATTCATAGTTTTAATCTTTGTTAATTGAAAAACATTCTTGCCTTGTACTTGCTCTTTTTATTGAAAATTTCCCCAGTTGATTTTATGAATTAATAATTTTTCTTACCAGGTATCCTTTGAGTCTAAAATACAGCTTAGAAACAAACAGGAATTCCAGTTTTTTGATGATGAGGAAGAAGCTGGAGAGAACCACACCATCTTCATTGGCCCTGTAGAAAAGTGAGAAAATTTCTTTTCACTTTCAGTGCTGTTAAATTTCTTATTTAAATTATATTTCTGTTATATATAGATATATGTATCTCTATATATGTGTGATTTATTGTTTCCTGTTTTGTTACAGATTGATAGTATATCCACCACCTCCATCTAAAGGAGGTATTTCTGTTACTAATGAGGACCTGCACTGTCTAAATGAAGGAGAATTTTTAAATGATGTTATTATAGACTTTTATTTGAAGTAAGTTCATTTTCTTCTAAGCTTCTGGCAAATCCTCAGCATTCTATCATATTGTATATGTTTATTTTCTAAGGCCAAACTAGGTTTTGAATTCCATCACTGCTTCCTACTGTGTTGACATTGAGAAGTTCATCTGTCTCAACCTATGTTGCCACATGATAAAAATGAGAATAATAATTTCTAAAATGGTTATGAGACATAAATAAAATAATATATGTTAATATATGAAATAATACATGTTAAGCACTAGAATAAATACCTGGCAATATAAAATGTTCATAAACAATAGCTTATTGTATTGACATTGTTATAATGTTTTGAGCCTTTAGAAAATTGTTATTCCCTTAAATTAGGTAATAATTTTTTAAGCAAGTACAAGTTCACTCATTTGCTTCAGTAAATGTTCACCAAGTGCCAGCTGTATGCCAAGTACTGTGTTAAACATTATGGTCTTAGAGCAAACACAGATATGTAATTAAAGCAATGATAGAAGCATTAACATGGTACAGACACAGGAGATGTGTTGAATGCTTCATTTTTTTTATTAAATGTATTTATTTACATTCATTCACTGTACATCATTACAGCATACAAAGTGAGATTTTTCCATCCAGAGTACAGTGTATATTGGCTCAATCCAGCACAGCAACATACATGTTATCGTCAACAAATAATTTTCTATTTCTTCTTTTCTGTATTTTTTTTTTCCCCATCCTTGACTCCCTATCTCTTAACCTCTGCCATCTCTCACTCTCCTCCCACACTGTCTCTGGTATCTATGTTTGCTTTCTATACTTTTTTCCCCCCACATTTTATTGAGTCACTAAAGATCTTAATTAATCTGAATATTTTCATAGCAAGCACAGCTGATATATACATTTCCATGAACACAAGTCCAACTTTAGGCATAAGCCTCAGTTAGTAGAATGAACATCCTATAAAGTAGCACCTAGCTGGGGCTATATATCGTACTGCAGGCATTGAATAGGTATTTTTAATGTTTTTGTTTGTTTGTTTGTTTGTTTTTTAATTTCAAGAAAAATAGTTTTAGGTTTTTATTTTTTTTTCTGAAACTTTTTTTAACTTAATTTACATTCTTTCCTTAAGCATCGTCACAGCATACAAAATGTGATTTTCCCATCCAGAATATAGTGCATAGTGGCTTAATCATGCATATTATTATCAAAAATTTTCCATTTCTAGTTTCTAGAATTTTTTTTACCCCCTATTTCTGACCCTCTGTCCTTTCCTACCCTCTTCTCACATTATCTCTGGTGTCTACAGTTGTCTTCCGTTCCTCCCCCCACCCCACATCGTATTGATCACACAATTTCTTAAATAATCTAACTACTTTCAATAGCAAGTTCACTTG